GTGGCCAGAGAGGGGGGGGGTCAGAGGGAGGTGGGGGGAGAGAGAGAGAGAGAGAGAGAGAGAGAGAGAGAGAGAGAGAACACTCAGAGTCAGAGAAATACAGAAAGAGAAAGAGACCAAGTTGGAAGAAAAGGGGCAACACGGATGTACAGAGAAACAGAGATGCAGAGACACTCACATGAAGAGAAAGAGGCAGGAGGGAAGGAGGGGAAGTGAGATATGTGGAGATCTGGGAAGTGGGAGTAAAAATTGAGAAGGATTCTAAGACTGACCTGGAGAAGAGAGAAAAACATATACAGAGAAACAGAGAGGGCCTGGAAGAGAGAAGAGGCTTTTACCAGGAGGTGGAGGCATGGGGATTGTGAAGCAGAAAAAATGTGAGACTCTAAGACAAAGGAAAAGAGAGGCAAGGAGAGGGAGAGAGAAACATGGGGAGGCACAGAGCTGAGAAGGAGAAAAAGACAAATGACACATGGAGACAGAGGACCAGGGTTCCAAAGCAAAAATCCCAAGAGCATCTAAGAGATACAGAGAAAGAGGAGCCATCTAGTGAGAGAGAACCGGGAGATGGGGCAGAGAGAAGCAGGGAGACGCAGAAACACTAAGACAAGTTAGAGAGGACACAGGGATAAACAGAACAGGACGGAGGAGACCGAGGAAGGGCTCTGCCTCAGCCTTGAGTGGGTGGTGAGTTGGGAGAAGAATGCTGGGACACTGAGGCCTTCAAGTCTGCTTGACCACATTCCCCCTCCCAGAGTCCCCCTCACCATAGCCTTTGAAGAGCCAGTCAAAGGTGGCCTGCTCGCCTCGCCCACTGAATTCCTCAGCCTGGTCCACCAGAGCCTCCTTTACAGCCTCATGTCCACACAGCACCACGATCCTCCGAGTGCCCAGGTGGATGGTGAACACGGGACCATAGCACTCGCTGATCTGATGGAGAGGCATGAGAGTGGGTGAGAGGGAGCAGCCCCAACTCTGAACTGACTCTGTACCCAGACCTCACAGACTGGGATACATTTTGCCCGAGTTCTGACAGTCAAGGAACTGGACATCCCAAGATCTGGTCTTTCCTGGCTAGAACCCCAGTACTAAACCTTCAAAACTCCCCCCTCTTGCCCTGGCTGGTGTGGCTCTGTTGCTTGAGCATCGTCCCATGCACTGAGAGGTCACCAGCTTGATTCCCTGATTCTGATCAGGGCACATGCCCAGGTTTTGGACTCCAATGATGTTTCTCTCTCTTTCTCCCTCTCCCTTCCTCTCTCTGGAATCAATACAAACATATATTTTAAAAACAACCTCCTCCTTCCTAAGATTTCAGTCCAACCTTGCCAATCCCCTGCCACAAAGTCTCAGCCAGACTGGGCAGGCCCCCAACACCCTAACACCAATTTCCCTGCCTTGTGATACCTTCATGAGGGAGTTGTACATCTGCTCTGTGTTCAGCTGCAAGTAGTTCCCGATGAAGGGCAGCGCTCGGGGACCAGGAGGTAGCTTTCCCCAGAACTTCCTTTGCCGCCAGACAGACATCAAGACCATTATTGTCAGGCAGGACAGCAAAGCCACCAGAAGCAGCCCTGAGGCCAGCATGGTGGCATTGAGAGTGAGAGTCACAAGGTGATGGCTGGGACAGCTTGTCTTTATACTACCTGGGAGAGAGGGGCGGCCTTTGGTCCTGATTATGTAACTGTCTCATTTCACCTCCCAGTTACACCCCCCACCATGCTCCCGCCTAGCTTGGGATGCAGCCAGCAATGGAGGAGGGAGGGACTCCAGAGCAGATTAACAAGTCTGAATTTGTGGCTTCTCCTGAGGGGCCAGCCCAGGACTGTGGACTTGGTGGGGGGGCGGGGGGAGGACGGGGGGACCGAGATAGTAGACAAATTTCAGAGCTGAAGATTCTGGAATATTTGCATGTGTGAGCCCCTGAGCTTGGGAGTTGGGGTCTCAGAGTGAGAAAGAACATCAAAGTTGTGAAGTTTGGGGTCTTGGGAGAGAAGAATAAAAGATTTAAGGGTATTGGAATAAGACAGACTACATGCCTGTGGATTTGGGGCTCTTTTGCTGAGGAGGAATGTAGGTTTAAAGGTCTCGGGTCTGGAGATTCCAGAGAATGGATTTGAAGGTCTTGAGGTAAGAAGCACCCCAGCAGTGGATGTGGGCTTCCTGTGGGAAGAAATATATGAGGAGTCCAGCTGGATCATGGAGTCAGCTCCTGACCCAGATGCTGACCTGCTTTTGTTTTGGACATAATGCCACCTCTTGATGCCCAGAATCCTCATTGGCACCTCAAAGCGGAGTCAAGATGGCATGCCACAGGACTGCCCATTCCTGGTTGGGGAAGGGAGAGACAACCAGAGCCACATCTCAGTGGAACTTTCCACAGAACTGGAGAAGATTGACTCATGGTCTCATTGGCAGAGGGATGGGCCAGGACTTGGGAAATAGTAATGACAACTGCAATACGGTACGAAAAAATCGCAACTGTCTGCAGGGTTATAATTTACAGAGAGCCACAGTGACTCACTGCCCAGATCATTAGGGAAACCCACCAAGTAGATTCCATCATTTCTATTGTTATTATTATTATTTATTTATTTATGCTTCCCATTTTATATAGGGGCAAGATGAGGGCAGAGAATAGAGAGTGGGCAGGGAACACATATGTCTCTCCTGCTCTCTACTTTTAGTCCCCCTTTCTGGGATTGAGTTTGCCACCAGTGGAAAGGTTATATTTGAGGGTGTGTGTGTTTTATAGGTAATTCCTGGCTCAGCAGGGCTGCTATTATCAGGCAGAGGGGACCATAAGAGGAGAGATTTGGGTAAGTTTTGATGTTGGGAACAGAGGTGGGCCCTGAGATGCTGGGGCGGGGGCGGGGGGGTAGAGAAAGGATGAGTGACTCTGCTGTCCTCTCCTCACTGGCATTCTTTCTTAATAATGAGGACAGTTTCCCCTTGGTGAGCACTAATTGTGGAGATTGACTGTGTATGCAGGATCTTATAGAATCTTTATAAGAATGGGCTGGGTCGTTATCATTCTTACTTTGCAGTTAAAACCAAGACTCCATAAAGCCACTTGCTGGAGGTCACAAGTAAAAAGTGATGAGGCTGGGCTTTGAATCTTCCCTCCTGCTTTCTCCATTGACTGGCCTAGCCCACCCTGGGGGCCAAGTGGAGACCAAGTTTAGCAGCAGGTGGGTGCTGAGATTGGCATCAGCATTGGCAGGTTCTGCTATTGGCATCAGGTAGCCCTGGGACAGAGGGCCATCACATTGGGATTGAGCTTGTTTCCAGATAGACACTAGGATTGAAAATGAGTTGACACTGAACTTGAGACCAGGAGAGCAGTAGTAGAGCACCACTGGTGTTGAGAGGGCTCTGAGAGTAGACCTAAGTGGCCATTGAGGCTGGCTTCCAGAAGGCATAGGGTGGCACCATGTGGGCTCTGAGGTTGATCCCAGCAGGCTCCAGCATGAGCACCAGATGAGCACTGAGATTGGTCCTATGTGGGCCTGAGAGGGGACCCTGATGGCCACTGGGCAGGATCCCACGTTTGGACCATCCTGCTCAGGTGCCACCTCTAATCTCAGGTGAGTGCTGGCACTCTGAGGACGGGCATGTTGCTCAAAACATTGTAGGCCCCTGAGCTATGAGACCTGTAGGGAGGGAACAAAGGGTGGAGAACAAAACAGAGAGAGGAAAGCTGTTTGTTGGTTTTGGAGGGGGAAAGAAAAGGGAAGGAGGATTCGCATGGGTTTGGCAGGTAACAATTCCCTAATCTTTTTTTTTCTTTTTGATCTTTTTACAAAATGAGGTAACATTGGTTAACAACATTATATAATTGAATGTTTATAGCATTGTAATTTGATATCAATATACTGGATTGCATTCTTACCAACAAAAGTCTAGTTTCCTTTCTTGCACCTGGGCTGGCCTCAAGCCTGGGCCCCTCCTTTCCCCACTTGTTCCTTGAGAAGGAAGCAGGTAGGACTTTGAGGAGTTTGTTTCCCTATGAAGTTGGCATCAGGAAGGGCCCTGAATGTTTAGACAGACAGCTGGGTGGGGAGGGTGTGAGGGGTCAAGACTGGGAAAAGTACTTGAGGTCACGTCTCTGACCCTGGAACATGGAGTGAGAGATCAGTGTCTGACATCACAGGCCTTACCTCCCAGAGGCAGGACACGTGCCGGTGTGCGGTGGCCAGGATAGACTTCGGAAGAGAACTGGTGCTGAATCCAGGAAAATCTCTTCCCCTCACTGGGCCTCAGTTTTCCTTTCTGGATGGATGGGACAATGGTTAAGAACAAGATTGAGACATGGATCCTAACCTTATCCTTTCTTCAATGTGTGACCTTGAATGGGTAACCTAACCTTTCTGAGCCTATGCTGCCAATAACAGTACCCAACCCTTTGGCATTTTGGTGAGGAGTCGATGGGTTAATGTGTGTAATATACATAGCAGTAAACACTCAATAAATATTAGCTGTTCTTGCTATTAATCCATGGAGGGAAAGAGATAGATGAGAGGTTCACTAAATCCCCTTCTGGCTTTTACATTTTCAGGTCTAAAGTTCCCACAGCTTTTCCTTTGGGAAAGGAGGAAGAGAGAGAAAGTTTTGGGGGACCCTCCTTCCCCCTTTCTTCCTCCATGCAGCCAAGTCTGAATAAGAACCTGATCTTCTGGGTGGCCTCGGGGAGAGATGGTGGATTAAGCAGTTTCTGAAGAGGGTGGGTCAGGGCTAGAGCCTCGGGATGTTCTGGGTGGGCATGGAGCCCTGCACAGGACGTTCCTCTCTGTCCTCCTCTATCTCAATCCCCTTGTCTCTGACTTTCTCTTTTTAAAAAAAAAATATTTTATTGACTTTTTACAGAGAGGAAGGGAGAAGGATAGAGACTTAGAAACATCAATGAGAAACATTGATCAGCTGCCTCCTGCACACCCCCTACTGGGGATGTGCCCACACCAAGGTACATGCCCTTGACCAGAATCGAACCTGGGACCTTTCAGTCTGCAGGCTGACGCTCTATCCACTGAGCCAAACCAGTTAGGGCTATCTGACTTTCTCTTTCTCCTTCCCTGTAAGTCAGCCTGCCCCTTAGCCCTGTGTGTGCTGGATCTGGATCTCTTCGTATTTGTGTCATCTTATCCAGTGGGTTCTCCTAGATGCCTCTGCCATGTTTATCCTTATTTATACACCTGCATATGTGTATCATTCTGGGTACATGCTTGGGGTGTCTATGAATGTGTGTGTGCGTGTATGCGTCAGTTTGTCCATGTTGATAAATTCATGTCCACACTTGTCTTTGGGGGTTGGGGGTGTTGGTGCATAAATTGGTATCCATACCTGTTTATGCTCATATATGCATATCTGGGTGCATGATAGGGTATGTGTGTGTCCTTGCCAGAGTGCTTGAGTGCATGCCGATCTCTGTGTCTGTCTGTAGGTAGCATGAGTACATGCTTTGGGATATGCTTGTTGGGTGACGTCTACATGTGTGTCTCTGTGTCCAACCTGATGTTTTGATATCTGTATATACATATGTATAACAGCTGACTATATATGAGTGTGTGGATGTGTTTGTGTGCATTCTGGTATAGTATGTAGGCACGTGGGCCACACTATATACACATGAGCATCTGAGATTGACTTGTGCCTATCTATGTTTGAAATCAATCACAGCCCAGCTCCATGTCCCTTCTTAAAAAAATAAGTAGTTCCCTTATTTTTTCAGAGTATTTACCTCCCTCCATTTTCAAGGGTCACACTAAGTAGAAAAAGCCTCCACAAGACAGGTGTGTCTTGAGAGCATTTCAAGGTAGGTCATTCTCATTGGATAAACTTAAATATCCTCTCTGAAAACTCTCTTTCTCATGGTTACCCCCCCCCCACACACACACACACACACGCACGCACGCACGCCACACATACACAGACACATCAGACTTGTAAGCCACTCAACAAATTTAGCAGCCATTGAACCAGTGCTCACTGAACCACTAGTTTTTCCAGGCTTTGCTAGATGAGACTGAGAACACAGGGGTGACCAAGACAGTCCTGAGCCCTGAACTCATGGGGCTTTCACTCCAGAGGGAGACAGATCAGTAACAAGAAAGCGACAGCTCAGAATGGACAGTGCTGGGAGGAGAAGGCACAGGCAGAGGGGTCATAACCAGAACGGGGATCCCAGGGAGCTGTAGGAGCCCAGAAATGGCACCTGGTCAACTTTGTAGGTTCAGGGTAAGCCCCTATAGGGCTAAGAAGGATTTTCCATGGAAGGATAGGGAATGTTGTGAGTGAGAATTGCAGGCAGAGGAATAAGCTTGTATAAAGGTGAGAGCCCCAAAGAGCATGGTTGAGTGCTCCTAGAGTGTAGAGACCTGGGGCTGTGTTCACCCATGAAACTGGAGCCATCAGCAGGAGCCAGGCTATATGGAGCCTATGCAACTTGTTGGGGAGTTTGGATTCTATCTAGAAGCAAAAGGAAGCCACAAAGGGTTTTTGTTCTGTTTTGTTTTGTGTGTGTGTGTATGTATGTGTATATATGTATTTTAAATGTTACATATGTCTCCTTTTTCCCCAATTGCCCCCCCCTCCACTCCCACCCGAGAGGGCAAGCCCCCACCGCCCCAGTGTCTGTGTCCATTGGTTATGCT